AAAAGGAAAAAAACCTTTTCGTCAGAAGCTGTTATTGGGCTACAAACTCGCCCTTTTAAACACCCTATACCCCAAGCTCATCATTTTAAACTCGAGAGGGGCCCCTTGGGCCCGAAACCCCGGCCCTTTTTTGCAACTTGGGGGTATTTGGGCTTCCCGAAGGGGGGCCCCCAGGTTGGGGTGAAGGTTTGGGGAAAAAAAACCCCCCACTTTACTGATTTCCCCCCCCCTCAACATGGGTCCCCCCAAGGGTTGGGCTAAGCCCCCCCCCTGAAATTCCTGTTTTTTCCTATTTACGCAAGGCCCCCGCCCTGCCTCCAACTCAACATCAAATTTGCAAAGAAAAACACAAAACAGCAAAATAGGCCATTTTTTAACCCCCAAAAAGCCCCCAAAAAGGAAAAAGAACAGTTTATCCCCTTTCTTTTTTAAAACATTTAAGGTTCCCCCCAATCCGGGAAAATGTTTCCCCAAACGTATGATGAATCTGGCTCTAAAAGGGACCGCCACAGGAAAAGGAAGACCCAGGGGTTACCCTTTTGCAGTGATACTTCATTTGGTTACAAGCCCAAAAAAATTGCAGCCAAATAAAAAGTTTATAAGGGGGGGTTGTGTTTAACAGACAACCCTCTCAACATCAACTTTCAGAGGGAGGGGCTGGGGTGAATCGGGGCCCTTCCCCTGGTCAAATTGTGCCAAAAAAAAACCCCCTACAAAAGGGCACCCAATAAGGGAAAAAGAGGGTTGCCTTTGGGCCAAAAGTGATGGAGTGCTGATCAAAACACCCTGACCTCCACAATAACCCAACCTCAACCCAATTTTAAAAGGTTTGGGATGGTTTGGGGCCACAGAGTGAAGGAAAAGCCCGCCCCAAAAAGTGCTCAGAATTTTGTTTGGGGAAATCCTTCAAGAATGTTGGAAAAACATTTCCCGGGGGGGTGAAACGGGGTTTTTAGAGAATGCCAAAAAATGTGCAAAATTTTTCATTTAAAACAAAGGCGGGGGGCTACTTTTAAGAATCTAAAAATTAAAATATATTTGATTTTTTTTTAAAACAAATTTTTTTTATTTCTACATGAAAACCATATGTGTTATTTTAAGTTTTTAGGGTCTTCACTATTATTCTCCCTTGAAAAAAAAAAAACCCTTTTTTAAGGGGTAGGTGTGTCCAAACCCTTTTGGATATTGGGTTTTTTAATATACTGTATTTATACTCGGGGCTCCCAAACATTGCTGTCCCAATTTTATATAAACCCTTTAAATTTCCATTATTTTTTTTTAGATTTGTGGTTTTGTTTGGTTTTGTTAAAGTTAGATATTACTGACCAAATTTTTGGAGAAAAGGGGGAAAACCCAAGGATTTTACCCCCCACCCCCAATACATCTGGGGAAAAAATGTGTATGGGGCCCCCCAAATTAAAAAGTGATTGATTGAGGATTTGAATTTAAATTTTGTGATTTTCCCGAGCTTTTTCTCCACCCCGTTTTTACCAGGCATGGTTCGCCCCCTGGGGGGGGGGGAAGCGGGGCCCCCAAAGGGGAGTGAAAGGTCATGGGGATTTCCCAACACCCGGTGTTTCTGTTTAAAGGACAAGGGAAGGAACACACACGGGCCCAGCGTTAAGGGGCGGCGCGGGGAGGGGCGGCGGGGGGGGAAAAGCGAGGGGCGGGGCCGCGCGCGCGGGGGGCGCGGAGGAGCGGCGGGGCCCGGGGTTTTTTTTGGGCGGCAAGGAACAGCTACGAGGAGCCGGCTACACGAGAAACAAACCAGCGAGCGAGGGGAGCAGGGGCGGGGGGAAAAGCGAGCGAAGCGAGGGCCCAGCGAGCGGCGGAGGGCCCCGACGCGCGCGCGCCCCCCCCGGGGCGCGGCCCCACGGGCGGGCGCGCGCAGGGGGCCCGCGCGGCCCCGCGAGGGGGCCCCGGGCGCGGCCCAGCGAGGCGGGAAGAGCGAGTGGCCCCGGGGGGCGAGAGGCGGGGGGAGGGGGGGAAAAGGAAAAAGGGAAGGGGGGGGGGCGGGCGCGGGGGCCCGCCCCCCCGCCCCCCCCGCCCCCCCCCCTCCGCACCCCCCAAAGCGGGGAGGGGCGCGCGCAGCGCCGGGGGCGCCGCGGCGCGCGCGCGGGCGCGGCGAGGGCGAGCGAGCGGAGCGGAAAGGGGGCGAGCGAGGAAACGAGCGAGGGGAGGCAGCGAGGGGGAGGAGGGAGCCGGGTTTCGGGGCCCGGGGGGCGAGCGGAGGAGGAGCGAGGAGCGAGGGGAGGGGGGAGCGAGCGCGCGCGGCCCGAGGGCGGGCCCCGGGGGGGGGGGTCCGGGCCGAGAGGAGGGGGGGAGGAAAAGGGGGGGGAGGGGGTGAAGGGGGGCGGGGGGGCGGAGGGGGGAAATAGAGCGACCCAGGAGAGAGCGCGGGGACCGCGGGGCGGGCCCGGGGCGGGCGCGGGCGGAGGCGCGCGCGGCGCGCGCGGGGGCGCGGCGGGGCGCCGCGGAGGCGGGGCGCGCCGGGCGAGCCGCGGGGGGCGCGCGGGCGCGGGGGCGAGAGGAGGGGGGACGAGGGGAGACGAGGGCGAGGGGAGCGAAAAGAGCGAGGAGCGAGAGAGCGAGCGAGAGAGGACGAGCGAGCAGCGAAGGGGAGCGAGGAGGAGAGAGCGAAGGGGGGGAAGGGGGGAGCGAGCGAGCGAGCGAGCGAGGAGCGAGCGGGAGCGGGGGGAGAAAAGGGGGGCGAGAGAGAGCGGGGGCAGGGGGGAGGAGCAGAGAGGAGAGGGAGAGAGAGGATGGGGAGAGGCGGAGAGAGGGAAAAGGGAGAGGGACGAGGGCGGGGTTTTCCCCTTCTCTCTTCTCTTCCCTCTCTATCTCTCTCTTCTCTTTTATCTCTCTTTTCTCTCTCTCTTTCTCTTTTCTCCTCCTTTTTCTTTTCTCTATTTTCCCCTCTCTCCTCCCTTTTCCTCTCTCTCTCTCTTCTCTCCTTTTTCTCTCTCTCTCTCTCTCTGTCCTTCTGGTGTTCTCTTAGTCTTTGTCTTTTTTTTTCTTTTTCTCTATTTTCTTTTAATGATTTTTCGGGACTTTTTAAGGGTTTTTGTTGCCGGTTTTCCAAATTTTTTGTAAATATTAATAAATTATTAAAGCGTTTAAAAAATAAGGTATTTTTAAACCCAAAGTTTTATGTGGGTTTTCCCCTTTTGGTAGTCTTTCAGGGGAAAAAGGAGAGAAAAAGAAGAAACTGTTTGGGCGAGAACGCTAACTGGGAAGGGAAAGAACTCTTCTGAAAAACTGAAAAATTATACGGGTGAAAAAACAACCCGAAGAAAAAGGTAAGACGGGGTTAACCCCGGGCGGGTTTCCTTTGGTTTTTCTGCTGGTTTTTCTGACTGGGCTGGGTGACTGGTTAAACTTAAATGACGGCTGATGGTTAAAACCCGACGGTTTACTGAAGGGTTTTTTCTAACTGGTTAAAAATGATTTAAATGGTTGGGTGGTTTAAAAAATGGTTAACGGGTGAAAGGCTGATGGTTACTAAATGGGTTAAACTGACTGACCCGAGGGTGGTTTCTAAAATGGTTAAAAGACTGACCGGCTGGGGGTTTTCCCGACTGAAAGGCTGAATTTTTTGGGTTTTCCAAAATGGTTAAATTTACTTTTTTTATAACTGGTTTTAAAACTGACTGCTGGGGACTGGTTTAAATAACTGGTTAAATGACTGAGGCGATTTGGGTTTAAATAACGGGCGGCCCCGATTTGGTTTAAAAAAAGAATGGCTGAATGGTTTTTCTAAATGGTTAACCCCGAATGACCCCGGCTGAGGTTTTTCAAAATGGTTAACGACCCGACTGGCGATTTGGTTTTACTGGGCTGGGCTGGCGAATGGTTACCCAAAAAAGGTTTTTTTGACTGGTTTTCTAATGGTTTAAAAGAAATGACTGGCTGACTGGTTTTTTCTAATTTGGGTTTAATGGGCCCGACTGGCTGACCTTTGGTTTACTAAATGGGTTAAAATGACCCGCTGGGGGAATCCCGGGGTACTTTAACCCGGTTTTAACTGAGGGCTGGCTGGGTGGTTTAAATGACCCCACTGGCTTCCCCGGTTTTTTTTAAAAACGGGGTTTTTGAATGGGGTTAATGGGCTGGTTATTTACTGATGACTTTACGGGGTTTTTGAATGAATGGCCCGGCTGGTTTAAATGACTGAAATGGGATGGGGTTTTCTAACTGGGGAACCCCATGAATTTGGTTTAATGGTTAGGGGGAAAGGTTGACTTTATGGTTTTTTTAACTGGTTAACGATGACTGGTTAACTGACTGGGTTTTAGGATGGTTAACTGAAGGGTTTTTTACTGACGGGGTTTTTTTGGGCTGGTTTCTGACTGGTTAAAAATGACTGATGGTTTTGAAGGCTGATTCAACTGATTATGGGTAAATGATGGTTTACTGAATGGTTTTACGGTTTACGGGTTAAATGACGAACCCCGAATTTTTAATGAAGACTGGGGTTTAAAAAACCCGGTTTAAATGAAATGGGCTGATTAACTACTGGTTTCTGACTGTGGTTAAAATGACTGGTTAAATGGGGTTGGGTGACTGGTTAACTACGGGAATGCGTTAACTGACTGGTTAACTGACTGACTAACTGGTTAACTGACTGATGGATTAACTGATTGGCTTACTGACTGACTGACTGACTGGCTGACTGATTGAATGGGTGACTTACTGAGTGACTGATCATGATATGATCTGATGTGGGGGGATGAATGGCTGACTGACTGACTGACTGGCTGACTGATTGAATGGCTTACTGACTGACTGACTGACTGACTGACTGGCTGACTGATTGAATGGCTTACTGACTGACTTACTGGCTGATTGATTGACTGGGTGGCGTACTGACTGACTGGATTACTGACTGGCTGGCTGACTGATTGACTGGGTGGCATATTGACTGACTGGATTACTGACTGACTGGCTGGCTGACTGATTGATTGATAGCTTTATACCCTCAATTGTCTGTGTGTTTCCAGCCAAAGCAGCAGCCTCCTCCAAATGTTCTGCCCAGGGCTCCACAGCTGCCCTCTCTGCTCCCGGCACCAACCCCAAAACTGCCCCCGTCAGGGAAAGAGATGGGAGGAGGAGGAGAGGAGACAGAAAGGGTGAGTAACATACAGACACACACACACACACACAGACACACACACAGACACACACACACACACACACACACACACACACACACACACACACACACACACACCCACACACAGACACACACAACACAGACACACACAACATACAGACACACACAGGACACACACACACACACACACACACAACACACACACACACACACACACACCACACACACACACACACACACACACAACACACACACACACACACCAGACACACACACACACACACACACACACACACACACACACACACACACACACACACACACACACACACACACACAGACACAGACACACAGACATACAGACACACACACAGACACACACACAGACACACACACACACACACACACACACACACACACACACACACACACACACACACACACACACACACACACACACACACACACACACACACACACACACAGACACAGACACACAGACATACAGACACACACACACACACACACACAGACACACACACACACACACACATACACACACACACACACACACACACATACACACACACACACAGATAGACAACTGTGACCAATGCAATGGTTTAATGTCAATCAATGTAAAAGAGAAGACAATATCCTCAAATCAATACTTTGCTAACTGAGACATCCCAACTGAGACGTGACAAATACCAAATCAATAGTTAGGAGTTAGTTTGTCTGCACAGTGACGAATACCAAATCAATAGTTAGGAGTTAGTTTGTCTGCACAGTGACGAATACCAAATCAATAGTTAGGAGTTAGTTTGTCTGCACAGTGACGAATACCAAATCAATAGTTAGGAGTTAGTTTGTCTGCACAGTGACTTCTAGAGAAGACCAGCCAACATGTTATTAGATTCCATACAGCTAGGACTCTATACTGAATATTACAGACAAATATAGAGAGAGAGAGAAGAGAGAGAGAGAGAGAGAGAGCGAGAGAGAGAGGAGACGGAGAGAGATGAGAGAGGGAGCAGAGAGAGGGCGGCAGAGAGAGAGAGAGGGGGGGAGAGAGAAGAGAGAGAGAGAGAGAGAGAGAGAGGAGAGAGAGAGAGAGAGAGAGAGAGAGAGAGAGAGAAAATTGACAACAGACTTTCCGCACGCTTATAGGGCTTTACACCCTGCTATATTGTGGATAAAGAGTTACCTGTCTAACAGAACACAAAGGGTGTTCTTAAATGGAAGCCTCTCCAACAGAATCCAGGTAGAATCAGGAATTCCCCAGGGCAGCTGTCTAGGCCCCTTACTTTTTTCAATCTTTACTAATGACATGCCAATGGCTTTGAGTAAAGCCAGTGTGTCTATGTATGTGGATGACTCAACACTATACACGTCAGCTACTACAGTGACTGAAATGACTGCAACACTTAAAGAGTTGCAGTTAGTTTCAGAATGGGGGGCAAGGAATAAGTTAGTCCTAAATATTTCAAAAACTAAAAGCATTGTATTTGGGACAAATCATTCACTAAACCCTAAACCTCAACTAAATCTTGTAATGAATAATGTGGAAATTGAGCAAGTTGAGGTGACTAAACTGCTTGGAGTAACCCTGGATTGTAAACTGTCATGGCCAAAACATATTGATACAACAGTAGCTAAGATGGGGAGAAGTCTGTCTATAATAAAGCGCTGCTCTGCCTTCTTAACAACAATATCAACAAGGCAGGTCCTACAGGCTCTAGTTTTGTCGCACCTGGACTACTGTTCAGTTGTGTGGTCAGGTGCCACAAAAAGAGATTTAGGAAAAGTATAATTGGCTCAGAACAGGGCAGCACGACTGGCCCTTAAATGTACACAGAGAGCTAACATTAATGACATGCACGTCAATATCTCATGGCTCAGAGTGGAGGAGAGATTGACTTCATCACTACTTGTTTTTGTAAGAAATGTTGACAAGCTGAATGCCCAGAGCTGTCTATTTAAACTACTGGCACACAGCTCGGACACCCATGCATACCCCACAAGACATGCCACCAGAGGTCTCTTCACAGTCCCCAAGTCCAGAACAGACTATGGGAGGCGCACAGTACTACATAGAGCCATGACTACATGGAACTCTATTCTACATCAGGTAACTGATGCCAGCAGTAGAATCAGATTTAAAAAACAGATACAAATACACCTTATGGAACAGCGGGGGCTGTGAAGAGACACACACAAGGGTATAGACACAGGCATACGCACACAAGCACACACACTGCACACACACGTACATTGTAATACTGTTGTATGGTGGTATTATAGATTTTGTATTGTAGATATGTAGTGGTGTAATAATGTCATATGATGTACTGTTTTATCTTTTGTTTTATGTGTAATGTAAGTGTCTTAATGTGTTTGGACCCCAGGAAGAGTAGCTGCTGCCTTGGCAGGAACTAATGGGGATCCCTAATGAATACAAATACAAATACAGTGCAAAAACCCAAGCCATGAGGTCGAAGGAATTGTCCGTAGAGCTCCGAGACAGGATTTTGTCGAGGCACAGATCTGGGGAAGGGTACCAAAAAATGTCTGCAGCATTGAAGGTCCCCAGAAACACAGTGGCCTCCATCGTTCTTAAATGGAAGAAGTTTAGAACCACGAAGACTCTTCCTAGAGCTGGCCGCCCGGCCAAACTGAGCAATCGGGGGAGAAGGGCCTTGGTCAGGGAGGGGACCAAGAACCCAATGGTCACTCTGACAGAGCTCCAGAGTTCCTCGGTGGAGAAGGACAACCATCTCTGCAGCACTCCACCAATCAGGCCTTTATGGTAGAGTGGCCAGACGGAAGCCACTCCTCAGTAAAAGGCACATGACAGCCCGCTTGGAGTTTGCCAAAAGGCACCTAAAGGACTCTCAGACCATGAGAAACAAGATTCTCTGGTATGATGAAACCAAGCATGGCGTACTTCTTAAAGGTATGTTTATTCAAGTTACGCCGCTTTTTTCTCCGTCAACAAGGGTTACGATTTCGAATGTACCGCCTTTTATTCCCAATAAACTATTGGAGCGCGAGTTATTGCGGTTTGGGAAGTTTGCAAGTTCAATTAAAATTGTCCCGATGGATTGCAAACACCCGGCTCTGAAACAGGTTATGTTGTTTCGGCGACAGATGTTTATGTTTTTGGACTCACCGGAGCAGACTTTGGAGTTATCGTTTAAAGTCAAATATGACAACAGACTGTATATGGCTTATGCTAGTACGGGTGGTCAACAGTGTTTTGAGTGTGGGGATGTTGGCCATAAGCGACATGCTTGCCCGAAAAGGGAAAAGGCAGAAGGAGGGGCGCAGGTGGTCCTCGTAACGCCTGGGCCCACTGATGTAGGGAGAGGTTGGCCTGGCAGCGGTAGAGCAGCCACAAGCACCTGTTGCTGAGGAACAAGTTGTCCTTGTTGCACAGAGTTGCAACTTGTACCAGACGGGAACATGGCGTCTGATGTACAGCAGGAAAATATTGTTGTAGGAGGTAAGGACGGATCTGGGGAGCCATTTCCCCAGACTGGTGAGGAGATGTCCATTACGAGTGACGGGGTACAGGAGTGGGTTCAGGTGGGTGACCGCGGATGAAGGTGAGATGCGCCAACATGCCGTGGATTTCTACTCTGCCCTCTACAAGATGGAGGACTGTGATTCTCTGTGTGCTGAACAGTTGCTACATGGACTTCCTCAAACCTCAATGTTGTACAGTGACGGTTCTAGCTGGGTCGTTACAGCCTAAATATTGATGAGGAGAGCAGGCTGTTTGGGCTTAGACAAGCACCTTTTCCTCTTAAAGCTAGAGGGGGGTAATTTGCTTACCATCTCTCTTCTGTTTATCCCTCTAGCTTGTTACTATCTCTCACACATTATCTCTGTTACTCTCTCTCTCTCTCTCTCTCTCTCTCTCTCTCTCAATTCAATTCAATTCAATTCAATTCGCTTTATTGGCATGACGTAACAATGTACATATTGCCAAAGCTTACTTTGGATATTTACAATATAAAAAATAAATAAAAATGAGAATCAAAAATTGTCAACGGGACAACAGTAACAACAATAACCAACGGTCAATATAACCATACATTCAACAATAACAATAATCATACAGTTGAGGACATGTGCAGGTTTATTGGTCTGTCAGACACTGTCCCTCAACTTATGGCAGGCAGCAATGTAGTGCGCTGCCAACCCACAGCTCTCTGCGTCCTCCCCCAACAGGATGGGTAGCCTATCCTCATCAGAGAGGTCTTTAAAACCTTGAATAAGGATTTCAAATTTGGGGAAATGACACTCTCTAATTGTTTTATATTTTTGACATTTTGTCAGGAAATGCAGCTCCGTCTCAGGTTCTGCTGTTGTGCAGTGGTTGCACAGCCTTTCCTCTACAGGGAGCCAGGTTTTCCTGTGTCTACCCTTCTCAATGGCAAGGCTGTGCTCACTGAGCCTGTACTTTGTCAAGGTTTTTCTAAGGTTTTGATCAGTAACCATGGTCAAATATTTAGCCATAGTGTACTGTCGATTTAGGGCCAGATAGCACTGCATTTTGCTTTGTGTTTGTGCTTGTGTTTCCCAATAAGCAATGTAGTTTTGTTTTGACTGTGTTGTAATTTGGTTTATTCTGATTGATTGGATGTTCTGGTCCTGAGGCTTCAGTGTGTTAGTAGAACAGGTTTGTGAACTCAGCCCCAGGACCAGCTGGATGAGGGGACTCTTTTCTTTGCTCAGCTCTTGGCATTGCAGGGCTTGGTAATGATATGAGAGGGGGTCACTGTATTTTAGATGTTTCCAAAACTTAATTGCTCTTTTTTGAGTTTTTATTATTAGTGGATATTGGCCTAATTCTGCCCTGCATGCATTGTTTGTAGTTTTCCTCTGGACACGTAGGAGAATCTTACAGAACTCTGCATGTAGGGTTTCAATGGGGTGTTTGTCCCATTTGATGAAATCTTGTTTTGCAAGTGGACCCCACACCTCGCTGCCATAAAGTGCAATTGGTTCAATGACATATTCAATTAGTTTTAGCCAGATTTTAATAGGTATTTCAATTTGAATTTGCTTTTTAATGGCGTAGAATGCCCTGCGTGCTTTCTCTCTCAGTTCATTCACTGCCTCATTAAGGTGTCCAGTTGAGCTTATTTTTAAACCTAAGTAATTGTAGTGTGTACAGTACTCTATATATTTTGTACCAATTGAGAACTTTGGTCTAATTCCCTGAGATCTGGATCTTCTCTGGAAAATCATTATTTTAGTCTTTTTGGGGTTTACTGCCAGGGCCCAGGTCTGGCAGTACTGCTCTAGCAGGTCCAGGCTCTGCTGTAGGCCAGGTGCTGTGGGTGACAGCAGGCATAGGTCATCTGCGAAGAGTAGGCATTTAACTTCTGAATTGTGGAGACTAACACCAGGGGCTGAGGATTTTTCTAGAATAGTGGCCAATTCGTTAATGTAAATATTGAAGAGTGCAGGGCTCAGATTGCAACCCTGACGAAGGCCCCGCCCCTGGTTAAAGAATTCTGTCCTTTTCTTACCAATTTTAATGCTGCACGTATTGCCAGTATACATTGATTTAATTATGTCATATGTTTTACCCCCTACACCACTTTCAATAACTTTGTAGAACAGTCCTGTATGCCAAATAGAATCAAATGCTTTTTGGAAGTCGATAAAGCAAGTGTATATTTTGGTATTATTTTGGTGGACATGTTTATCTATCAGGGTGTGTAAGGTGTAAATATGATCAGTTGTGCGATGTTTTGGTATAAATCCAATTTGGCTTTTACTCAAGACATTGTGCTTATTAAGGAAGTTTAGAACTCTTACATTGATGATACTACAGAAAACCTTCCCCAGGTTACTGTTCACACAAATGCCTCTGTAATTGTTAGGGTCAAATTTGTCTCCATTCTTAAAGATTGGGGTTATGAGTCCTTGATTCCAGATGTCAGGGAAATAACCTACACTCAGGATCAAATTAAACAATTTTAATATAGCCAATTGAAATTTTGCACTAATGAGTTTGAGCATTTCATTTAGGATGCCATCAGGTCCGCAGGCTTTTTTAAATTTGAGAGCCTGAAGTTTCTTATAGAGCTCCTGGTCAGTAATTGGGGAGTCAATGGGTTTTGATTGTCCTTTATAGCTTTTTCTAATCCATTCAACTTCTCATGGATTTGGCGTGTAATGGGGGTTTTTGGTATTTGAAGTGTTGTAGAGTGTTTATCCATCAGAGCAGAGGAGCGGGAGCAGTGCAGTGCAAGAGAGAGAAGGGGAGGAGAGGAGCGCAGCAGCTGACGATCGCGTGAGCGCGAGAGACCCCGGCCGACCTCGACGAGAGCAGCTGGCGAGGAGCCCAGGATCTCCCCGGGAGGACGGGAAAAAGAGCAGAGGCTGAGAGGCGAGCGCGCGAGCTCAGAGGCGGAGCGCGTAGAATAGAGAATGAGCGAGAGAGCGGCTCGATCTCTTTCGCTCCCCTCTCAGAGCTATCTTTATCTCTCCGCTCTCGATCTCGCTCTCTAACCTGTAATTATGGCTCTCTAGATTCTATTCTCTCTCTCTCTGTCTCTCCTTCTCTCTCTCTCTTTCTCTCCTTCTATCTCTATTTCTCTCTCTACTCTCTCTCTCTCTACCTCTCTTCTCTCTCTCCTCTCTCTCTCTCTCACGGAGGAGGGAGAGAACAAACTCTGAGTCTGCGTTAGAGGAGGAACCTCGCATGGATGTGTCTCGCCTCGACCTGCGGATTGGTCGGATCGTTGGCGTCCGCTACCACCCATTGGCCGGGGCTCTGTACGTCCAGGAAGTGGATCTAGGAGAGCCCGCCCCCCGCACGGTGGTCAGCGCGCTACGACACATTCCTAAGGAACAGGTAGGGAAAAGGTTATACACACACAGATTACACACAGAGGTTACACACAGGTTACACACAGGTTACACATACTGTAGACAGTGTGTTGTCATGTAGCTTTAAAATGGGACTCCTTTAGACAGTGTGTTGTCATGTAGCTTTAAAATGGGACTCTGACCAGTAGTCTCTCTATCTGACTCCTTTAGACAGCGGGACTCTGACCAGTAGTCTCTCTATCTGACTCCTTTAGACAGTGGGACTCTGACCAGTAGTCTCTCTATCTGACTCCTTTAGACAGTGGGACTCTGACAGGTAGTCTCTCTATCTGACTCCTTTAGACAGCGGGACTCTGACCAGTAGTCTCTCTATCTGACTCCTTTAGACAGCGGGACTCTGACCAGTAGTCTCTCTATCTGACTCCTTTAGACAGTGGGACTCTGACAGGTAGTCTCTCTATCTGACTCCTTTAGACAGCGGGACTCTGACCAGTAGTCTCTCTATCTGACTCCTTTAGACAGCGGGACTCTGACC